GCACAAATACAAAATGATATTCCATACTCTTACCCATAAACAACTTTCTAAGGGAAGAATGGAAGAGTCTTTTTTATTTTTCGGATAAATGAATTCTACTATAGTTTGGGAAATTAGGGAAGATGAAGAAGACCGTAAGGATTTTGTGTTATTAACAGAAAAGTTTAGTCACCAATTAAAAAAAAAATCTTCTATTAGCTGATGAACACCAGTTTAGTTTCGGAAACATCTGCAACTGATACATTTCACCCTTTATTTCAAATTCAAGTTCATAAAAGGGCAGGTTGCTGTAAGCAATGTTCATTATAATGTGGTAAGTTTTTGCAGGTACTTTGCTTTTAGATAAGGTTCAGGGGAAGAAAACAATGTTGTGTGAGCTAGTGCAGTAGCTGCTGTAGTGGTGCTATTCTATATCAGCCATAAGATGGAAGGACAGATGGTTTTCTTGATTTATTTTTTCTCTCAAAGCAGTTTCAACAAATTAGATTACTTTGTGTTCTCAAAATAAGTTACAGTGCCAAGCTGATTTCCTCAAGCACAAGGACCTTCCATAGCTGGATCTTTTTTGCTAATGAGCAGATCTCAAAACTTAATTCTGAAAAACTTCACAGTTTAGGAGAGTTGAAATATGCCTTCAAGTAACATGGACATTTTTGCTTAAAATGAACAGCATTTTTCCTCATGCAACACTAAATTTCACTCACAGGTCTCCATGAGATTCCGTAGAGACTTAAACAGGTCTAAAAGAGCTCAGTCTTTTTAACTTTGAGATACACTTTATGGACTGTTTTATAGAGCATAAAAATTCTGTTAACATGAGCAAACAGAAAAAAAAGCTATGTTTTTTAGGCTGTAGGCCATACAGGTGAGTACTATTTTGCTATCTTTATGTGCATCATGTTTTCCCCTACGCATACAGACAGATGCTGTACAAAATATTTTCATGTACATAATACTTGGTATTCTAAGAAGCTACTTTTAGCACAGCTTATTTTTCTTCTAATTTTTAAGCATTGTATATATTCATATAAATAGCGCTGAGTACCTTGTTAGTGCCATAAAATATGAGAGAACAATAATAGAAGAGCTACTGGAACCCCCTGTGAGGCCTGAGGCATTTTTTGCAGTGAAGACAGGAGAGCAGAGAATCCTGAAAACTCACTCCCAAATACCGTTCTTCTCCATCTTTCCCCCGTCTCCTAAGCAACAGATATTTTGATCATGGCAATACAATTACAACAATAAATCAAGCTGGCATGTCTTTCCTAATTCAATCTTTTGATGTCATTTGCCCTTTTGTCTCATGTTTCACTTGTGCTGGGAGTGAAATACTCCTTCTCCCAAAGCAACCTTTTGCAGTCCCTTTTGCATCCCTTCTTTTTGTTGTATGATGTCAGCATCACACTAAGGGAGAGCGAGGCTGAAATCTGTACCAGATCATAAGCTGTGTATCTGACTTCTTGGATTTTGAACACTTACCTAGGCAGCCATGTGTCCCCATGTAGCAGTTTCACTGTAATGCCATCGGTAGTGTAACCCGTGTCTGCTTCTGAGAAGCAAAACTGCTTCATCAGATAAAGCAACAGGAAGCTGCTCTTGGATACACCAATGAGGCAACAGCTCACACGTCTCTCAATTTTTTTTTTTCCCCCCTTTTTTTTTTTTTAATATCTTGTATAATCTAACCTTATCCATGGAAAAAAAAAGCAACATAGTTACGTAGAAGTATGCACTTCTATGATGGTACCAACCTTAGTAAAACTAGGAACACTTTTAGTAAGTTTATAGAAGTTTTATTGAAAATATTGCCTAATTACATGAGTGGAGTATATTACAAACCTCTTATCTAGGACACTATGTTCTGCAGCAAAACCACTCCACAGAAATAAAATACTGTGGAGTGTATATATATTTATTTGTGTTTACTTGTATGTGTTCAAAACATAGGGTCTTTTTTCAACTAAAGGACTTGTCACTTGCCTTTCCCAACAAATTTATCACAGAATCAAATAAGAATCCACCTAAAAAGAGCCCATAAAAATATATCACAATGACTTTAGGAGTTTGTATGTGGCTTTCACAGGAGTGATTCTTTTAACAAATAATTCTATTCAATTAGACAGGTGGAAAATTGTTACATGAGCACAGTTTCTCTTCTCCCTCTGTGATCAGAATAAATTACTGTGTGCTCTGATTTTTTTCTTAAATTCTGTTTGGAACAATTGAATTCTGCTTCTAAGGAACTGGGTACAATTTCACTTTAAGTGTACATCTATTGGGTAACACAAAAACTGGCCTGTTTGATGATTCACATGCTAAGGAGAAATGAAACAGATAAGCAAATTTAAAAGCTCTAAAATAGCACATACTGACTTCCTTGAGAACAATACCAGGCAGCTCTATAATATTTAACCACTGGATGCAGAGATTTGGTTCCTTCTTTTTTCCAGTCAGAGCATGACTTTTTCATCCAGTGTTTCTACTGATGCGCTTGTTATATGAAGCTTAAATTATCAAATCATTCTATACTTGTGGTCATTCCTGAACTGGTATCATAGCCCCCTCCAGTTTGGTGAAAGGGAGGCTTTCCAGCCACTTGATTATATTAATTTCTAAAATAAATTTCAGTCAAACCTTTATTTTCACTGAAAGAAAAGTCACTAGACAAAGACCTGTTTTATTACTTTGCACCTGCCTTTTCCTAACATGGTACCTACTAAGAACAATGTCTGGTGAGCTGGTTCTGCTGTTCTGTTGAGGGTTTCTATATTTCAATGAAGAAAAAGCAGTTCTTATCATTATTAGAAATAGAGAAACATAGTTGATGATACATTTCTACAGTTCTTCACTGTAACAATTGATAGTGGGACTGAAAGATCAAAGGAAGCAAGAGGGGATATGATGCATTTTATACATTCTGGAAGTAAAGCTATATGCAAAAAGCAATTCTTGACTGTGTTCATGTGGACAATTTAATTTCTGATGCAAGCAGCACAGTTTTCCAGTTTTTTTTGGAGATCTGGACATACATGGTATCTCAAATCAGTCATCTCAGAACAACAGATGTTCTTTTGGTTGGCTGAGATTACAGTACTATTAAGAAAGAACAACTGAAATAGAACAGCATTAACAGTGGAAAATTATCTTATCTACAAAAGAAGCAATGAGTAAGTCCTCAATAATTTTATTGGTTATATTTGGGCTTACAAAGGGTCCAGATCTCATGTCCTTGGGTCATGGACAAAGATGTAAAGAAAAAAAAAACAGGTAAAAAGCAAGGTTGAGATTCCTAATGCATAATAAAAGTCCTCAGAGTCCCACCAAAATATCTTCTTCTTTCCACCAAAAGAAATTCTAAGAATGTTTTTCTATACCAGCTGAAAAGGGGAGGCACTCAGCACATCATAGGATGGAAATACGAGTTTTGAAAGCTGACACTTTTAGGCTCCTCTGAGTGAATAAGAGACTGAATTCCACAGCTGAAGCCTTCTACCTGGAATAAACTGATGCATTAATTTAAGAAATTATCAGAATTAACCAATTAATAATTCATGATGGTTTTGCAAACGTTCCAGGTGCGCAAAGCTGTACAGTCTGCTGGAACAAATGTGAATTAGGACCATAAGCATAATTCTACCTCTGCCAGTGACTCACTGTAGCCTTGAGCAAGTCACTCTGTCCTTCTGCATGTAATAATGACATCGTATAGCTCATTTGGGTGTGAGCAGGTTCATTAGTTAATGCTTGATATTGCTGTAAAATGCAAAATGTTTTGTGTTTGGTATTGTTATTAAAAAAGTTATAAACAGGAAACGTCAGTCAGGTAATGTCATCACTGAGACATTGGATCCCTCAATGACATGGACAAGAGAGGCAGTGGCTCGAATGACAGCATTCTTTATGGACAGAAACATGCAAACCTGAGGTTTTCCACAGCTCTAACACACTGCCCGCATGATGTCAGCCACTGCATCTCCCGGTGCCTCATTCCTCCTTTAAGCACATGGAGCACTGCCTCTGTAAAACACTGAAGTCAGCAGACAGACAGTTCCCCTTCAAGGATTTTTATAGGGTAATCAAGCTGATCGCCAGTCTCCCTATTACTTTTCCTCTGAGCCAAATGTTTTCATGTGCTGGAGTCTGAGGGAACACCCTGGCTATCCTAACGGAAACTTTTAACGTGTGGCACAGCACCATCTCAGCTGGTCCTGTTTGTTATGCAGCTGCCCTGCGGCGTGCCCCATGAAGGCTGCAAAACAGAAAGGCTTGTTCAGCCACGCTAGCGGCGCAAGTCAAAACCCACTTCCAGGATCCCTCTCTGGGGTCCTGCTGACGCAGCTGCGGATCTAACTGGGGCCAACTGGGATTCCCAGGGAAGCCCCTGAGGCTGCCAGCACGCCTCTGCGGGGCAGGGCCTCTGCGGGCCTGGCCGTGCCCCAGGGCCGCTCCCGGCCTGTTCCTGTGCAAGTGATGAAAGGTCTTTCTCACAGCGCGCTGGCGTTTCCTCCTTCAAGGTGCCGATTATTGCCTACTGTACGAGGGAGTTGGTGGCAGCCCGAGAGTGGGGCAAAACCAGGAACCTGGCAGCTGGCGAGCGCCTGGAAATGAGAGGTTCCCCGGGAAACACTATTCCTCTCCCAGGAAAACTGCCGTGCCTTGCCAGAGTCCCCCCCAAAAGGCCAGTCTGGCGTAAGTCTCACAACCAGGCTGCTCATGCGGCACTAAACGCAACTCGCCGTGTGTTCCCCGAGAAACCCCGTCCAGCCCTGACGCCCACGCCCCGTCTCGCTGCACAGCCAGCCAGCTTTCCCACACCCAAGATGGCTCCACAATAGGTTCACTCGCTATTCAGTGCCCAATTCCAGCACGGCGGTACACGTCCCACCAGCCGGAACTTGCCTCGCCCTTTCTCAAAATGGCAACCACTAACTTCAACCCGCGAGGGGGTTGCCCGTAAGGGCTGCGAGCCTTCTCCTCCCTTCGCCTTTCCCTTTAGCAAAATGGCGGCGAAGGGTGCTCACGCCCCGCCCTCCGGTGATCGCCAGGTTGTGCGGTCACGTGACGCGCGGAGCCGGGTAGTGGCGAGTTGCTGTAGGGACGCGGTGGTGCGTCCGGGACGCTGTCGGCGGCGCGGAGCGGAGCGGAGCGGAGCGGGATGGGGTGCGCGGTTCTGCTGTGGTGCTGGCTCCTGCTTGGCTGCAGCTGGGGGCCGAGGGCCCCCCGGGGCCGT